TGACATGCTGGGCTGGATGAATCACAAGCTGGGGTCCAGACTGCAGAGAGAGATATCAACAATCTCAGATATGCAGATGATACCATTCTAATGATAAAAAGCAAAGAGGAACTAAAGAGCGTCTTGATAATGGTGAAAGAGAAGAGTGAAAAAGCTGGCTTAAAACTCAAACATTCAAAAAACCAAGATCACGGCATCCAGTCCCATCGCTTTATGGCAAATAGGGGGAAAAGTGCAAACAGTGACAGATATTTTATTTTTCTGGGCTCCAAAATCACTGCAGATGGTAACTGCAGGCATGAAATTAAAGACACCTGTTCTTTGGAAGGAACACTATGACAAACCTAGACAGCATATTAAAAAGCAGAGATATCACTTTGCCAACAAAGGTCCATACAATCAAAGTTATGGTTTTTCCAACAGCCATTGCACAGATGTGAGAGATAGACCATAAAGAAAGCTGAGTGCTGCAGAATGGATGCTTTGGAATTGTGGTGCTGGAGAAGGCTCTTGAGTCCCTTGGAAAGCAAGGAGATCAAATCAGTCCATCTTAAGGGAAATCAACCATGAATACTCACTGGAATGACTGAAGCTTAACAGGGTTAGGGTTAACCTACTGGAAGCTCCAATGCTTTGGCCACCTGATGCGAAGAGCTGGCTCACTGGAAAAGACGCTGATGCTGGGAAAGACTGAGTCCAGAGGCAGAAGGGGACAGCAGAGTGTGAGGCGGCTGGATGGCATCACCGACCCCGTGGACAGGAGCCTACGCCAACTCCAGGAGAGACCGAAGGGCAGGGAAGCCTGGCGAGCTGCAGTCCCAGGGGCCACAGAGTCAGACACAACTCAGCGACTGAACAACAACAATCCCAAGTAATATCTGGGAATAAGATGTATTTTTTTCTGGTGTTTTCTGAAACTGACCTCAGTATTCAGTGCAATTTGGATTATCTGAGAACATGCCGATTTATGACTAAGAGAAGGATTTTGGGGCACAGTGCAGACAGACACAGTGAAAGGTGTCTATCAGTTCAGATTGAGCACAGAGCTGACACAATGCACCGACTAGAACACATCCAGGAGAGCTCACTCACAGGCAGAAAGTGACTGCATAGGACTGAAAGCTTCAGAAGGCCGTGCACAACAGCACCAGAGCATCACCTTTCCAAGATAAACTAAAACAGCTACTAGAATATATCTCTGCATTAGGTCTTCTACTGAAATAAAATCACCCAGTGTCTTTGAAAACAGCCATTCTCACCCATGGTACGTACCACAATTAGGATGTGGCGCATGTCACAAGAAACGGCTTATAGTTAAAGGATCAAAATTCTAAGCATGATTTCCTTGTTTAAAAAATTTTACAAATGTCACTCATTTGCATTCCAGTATACTTGTGTGAGTGGGAAAGGGGTGAAGCTACAGCCAGTGGACAGGAAATTATAATCCTGTATATGCTCACAGTAACTCAGACCATAAACAATCTGCCTGCACTGCAGGGACCTGGGTTGGATCCCTGAGTCGGGAAGATCCCCTGGAGAAGGGAATGGCAGCCCACACCAGTATTCTTGCCTGGAGAATCCCATGGACAGAGGAGCCTGGTGGGCTGGAGAATCCCATGGACAGAGGAGCCTGGTGGGCTATAGTCCATGGGGTTGAAGAGAGTCAGACACGACTGAGCAACTGACATGTAACGTATATGCTCACAGACAGTAGAGAAGAGTGAACAGTATCTATCCTGTGTGGCAGGTGAAAACGTTTGGAGACTCGCTGTTTTAAGTATGCCTTCTAAATATATAACATAAAATACAGGACCTCAAATTAGTACTTTGAAATAATTTTAGTGAAGACTACAAGTCACAAAGGCCTGCGTTGAAATGCCAGCCTTCTTGATCCTACTTGGGCAAGTACTTGGACAAGTTACCTAAGCAGCTTGAGCCTTACTTTGCTAATTCTACTTAAGAATTAACTAGGAATTAACCTACACCTTGCACGGTTGTATAGAGAACGTGGCACAGAGGTATTCACTATTACAGAGTAATAATTAGGAGCAGAGACCCAGTCCTCTATCTCTGTGTCCCTTCAGTTACCTAACCTTAGTTTCCTAGTCTATAATACTATCACCTATTAGAATTAGGGTGTTGTAAAGATTAAATGTCTTACAACACTGCCTGGCAAGTAGCACACACTAGCTACGTGTTAGTTACTATTAACATAATTATCACCACCGCCACTGAAATGTTAAGTAAACATTGCCACATTATCAGATTCATTACTTTTCTACTATATGAAAATATGCTCCTTGAAAATTAACCTTATTTAGTGAACTGATTATAATATAGGATGAACTCACACACTCAAGAATTTTTATGCTGATTTTTAGAAACTTTAAATATACAAGAAATTATCTGAATTACCATTGGTCATGAACGTTGACAAGATACATACATCAAATATCCATTTTCAGTGAACATATCCCTTCACAGAACTAAAGCATATCACAAACTGATATGTCTATTGTAGTTTCTCCCCAAAGAGTTCAAAGCAGTTTAAAATAATTATATGTAGCAATTCTCAAAACTTACAAGTTCCCAGAGAAAATTGCATCTGAGAGCAATCAACATCTTTCTCTAAAACTTTTGCTACATAATTACAAAATGTTACAGTCTAACTGTTCCAAACCTGCCATTCATTCAATTAGTCAGAACGCTGACTGCATACCCACTGTGCACCAGGCAGGCACTGTGCTAAACCCTGTTTTATAGTAACAGAAAAGGAGAGACCACAAGTAACAGTGGGCACGCCACCAACACTATAATTAAATATTTTTGAAATTCTGTTTTCCTTAAACAGTGAAAGAGTAAATTATATGTTCTAACCGTGGAGTGCATCAATAGTTAATGAGTTAAGTAACCTCATAAAAGTGACAGTACAATATGTTCCCCAAGGAGACTAGGATTAAATGAAATAAGCATCCGTCTCTACTGCTCAATTACTAAGTAAAGGTAAATGACCACTTTAAATGGGTCAACCTCAAGAATGACACTATTTTTCACCCATTTGAAGGAGAAAGTTTAGAGAAAAATCTTAAGTTAGCTGTTACATGTCACTTGTAATCTATCAGAAATAAAGTACATTTACTCAGTTTCACTCAGCATCTGAAACTGAATTTTTGCTGGGGCGACTAGGGTCAATTTACTAATCATGCCTTCCTTTGATCAACCATTTTTTCTTAGGAGAGAAAAAATCTAGCCTTAACACAATTATCAAACAATCTAGAATTCATACTTTTTATCCTACATTTTACAAAACAAGATTGTTCTCAAGTAGCTACCTGTTAAAGTTTTAAAGAATTTAACATATATATTACCCAGCAAAATTGCTCTGCCCAAAAAAAAAAAAAAGCAATCTTGACTCCAAGTTAAGTAATCTTAGTGCTTCAAGTGGTCATCCAAAACCTGAAAGTGGACAGACAGACAGCCAACCACCTTTTTAGTACCTACCTCTCCAGAAGAAAGGGCTGTTAGACAAATGCTATTAATATTGACAGCAATTGTATCAAACTGACACGCAGGAAGGTGCACTTCAGGCTAAGTACCTTCCTTGGAGTTCATTATTATGAACTATGAATGTCACATTAGAAAAACTGCTGTCATTTCATTTTATGAATGCTGAATCAGGCAGTTTTAGTTAACTGCAACACTTTACAAACAGGCTATCAAATAAGCCCCAATTACCAAGTTGTTCCAGACACAGAGCTTCTGTTTCTATTATTAAGTGTAATTAAAGAATTAAAAGGATCAGTTTATTTTTCTTGATACATTAGTCTAAAACGATCTGCAATAAGTCTCTGAACACCCAAGTGACTGAAATTCCTTGAGATATACAAAACACTCCTCTGGAATGCCAGTCTTCCAAATGGCAAGACTGTAAGAACACACAACTGATACACATTCTCCACATTACACATGAAGGAGTAAAAAGATTTCAAACTCAGTAAATTTACAGGAGGGAGGGGAGAAAAAGTGAAAATAAATGCCCCAAGTCTTTGTCTTCTCCAGAATGGCATTTTGTATCACTGCAAGAATTCAGGCATTTCATCAGTATTCTGCACACTGGGGGACATTCAGTAACTGCTAGTGACAGATGAGCCGAGAAGAAGCTTCACCAACAAACAGTATTAACAGGTAATGTTGCAAATCAGTCATGGAACAGCGGGAGAAGGAATGTGGAGGAGTTCAGAGAGTAACAATCTTCGGCTAAATTTTACATTCAGAGCAAATCAATCACACACTCTTCCAGGAAAAAAAAGAGAGAGAGATATTTGGTGTGACCCAGAAAAACCATGAGGACCAGACACACACACACACACACACACACACACACCCAGAATAACCATGAGGATCCCCGCCCCCACACACACAAAATAACCATGAGGATCCCCCCCCCACACACACCCCCAGAATAACCATGAGGACCCCCCCACACACACCCAGAATAACCATGAGGACCCCCCCCCACACACACCCAGAATAACCATGAGGACCACATACACATACACACACACACACACACACACACAGAATAACCATGAGGACCCCCCCCAAACACACACCCAGAATAACCATGAGGACCCCCCCCACACACACACCCAGAATAACCATGAGGACCCCCCCACACACACACACCCAGAATAACCATGAGGACCCCCCCACACACACACACATCCAGAATAACCATGAGGACCCCCCCCCACACACACACCCAGAATAACCATGAGGACCCCCCCCACACACACACCCAGAATAACCATGAGGACCCCCCCCACACACACACCCAGAATAATAACCATGAGGACAACACACACACACACACACACACACACACACAGCAAGTGCCACTTCCACTACAGTTTGACAGTCATGCATTTGGATAATTATAGTAGAAACGTGTGTTTTGGAAACACAGCTAAGACCACAGCCTAGGACCGAGAACCGGGATTTTAAATGCTAAGGAGCTGCGGTCCACGCAGCACCTGAATCTGACGGTACCGTGGCACGGGCGGAAGGGGTCGGGACACCAAGTTCAAGGCAGCTGACCAGGAGGGCCGCGTGTCCGGGCGAGGCAGGTGGAGCCCGAGGGAGAAGGGGGTGTGGATCCGGGGACCAGCCCCGGGAGGGAAGGCGGCCGCTGGGAAGGAAGGACGCGGGCGCTCCGGGTCGGGGGCGACCACAGACGCGGGAGGGGCAGCGCCCGGAGCCAAAGGCCAAGGGCGGAGGCAGGGCTGGGCACGGGAGGGGGCGGCGAGCACGCGCGGGGAGACGCGAGTGGAAGGAGGCAGGGGCGGCCCGGGGCGCCCGCGGAGATGCCGCCGCAGCGCCAGGGGTGGGCGCCGGGGTGGGCCCCCGGCGACGGTGGTGGGGGGGATGAGGAAGCCCCGCGCCGGCCCCACCGCGCCCGCCTCTCCGCCAACATGGGGTCGCGGAGCAAACGAGCCAGGGGTGTGAGAGAAGCGGAGAAAAGGGGAAAAAAATAAACCACTCACCCTCCGCGCGAGCCTCCAGGCGCTCTCTCTCAGCCCCGTTCCTCCGCCCTCCTCGAGCCGCGGCGGCGGCTCCTCAGCGGCGCTAGGGGGAGCCCCGGACCCGGAGCGGGGCAGCGGCGGCGGCGGCGGCCGGACCGGAAACCCCTCCGCACCTGCCCCTGTGGCGGAGCCGCGACGAGCCAGGCGGCGACGGCGGCGGCGGCGGCTCCTCCGAGCGGGGAGGGCAAATGACCCCGATATACAGGGTAACGGCGAGGAGGGGGAGGGGGCAATGCCAGGAAGTGAGCGCCGCGGACCTGTCCGGCCGTGCGCAAGCGCCGCGCGCCCGCCCGCCCCGCAAGGTAAACCGTCTTCCTTCCCCGCCCACTTTGCTCCCGCCCCTCCCCTAGGGGGCGGGGCGAGGCCGGAGACAGGTGGTCTGGAGGGCTACGCGCGGAGAGGGAGGGGGCGCGGCTCCCTTCTCCGCTACCCCGCCCTCCTTAAAGGGGCAGCACCTTAAAGGCCGAGATGGCTTCTGGGTGGTCCCGCGTCTTGCAGCCTTCTCATTTTACAGATAGAAAACTGAGGCTCAGAGGTGACAGTGACCTGCCTCAGGTCAACAAGCTCAGAAACGGCAGAAACTGGAACTCGAGACTCGCAGATGTGGACTATGCTGAACCCATCAAAGTCGCCACATCCCATCACCGCCCCCCTACACGTGGGTGGGTGGGCACGCCTTTCCTCCAGGTGCTGATTGAGACTCAACCTCCCAGATATTACAGATGAGCCTGGCAGGCTCCCCAGGGCCAAGAGGTACACCGTTATCTCCTGCGATGGTATCGTGGAGACGCCCTTGGGAGGTGTTAAATAATCAGTCTGAGAACAGAAATCAGGCGCCACCTGAGACTTGCATGGTGCTACACATAGCACTTTCAGATAAATGAGACTCTGTTCTGGGGTCTGGTCTGGGTAACGCTATCTGATGGACAGAGAAGTTGGATGTGGTAGAGGGCACAGCTTCTTCATTTTCCCCAAATTCCCCTTTCACTCTGAACATAAATGTTCCCTCTATACTTACAAAACAAGAACATCCCATCTAGCTAGCTCATCCTAATCCAATTATGAAACTCTCACATTTTTTTCATTAATGCCAGAGTGTAAATGATCACATCTTCCAGGGATATTTTCAATTTGACTGCTAAGCAGATAGTAACTATAAAGGTAAATGGTTCTAAACATTTTGAGGTCAAGATCCCTACTGAAAATCCCATAAAAGTATGCACTTTTCTCTCCAGGGAAATGTGTACAGGCACACAAACTTGAACACAATTTCAGGAGATTTTTGGATCCGGGAAGCCTATCTATGAAACCCTGATTATGAACCCTTGTTCTAGTCAAATAGGTAAGATCCCAGTAGTGATCTGGGCCTTACCACAGGTAGCCAAGCAAACACTCCTTGCCCCAGATAGAGAAGGCAGCCTTACCCTTATGTAGCTTTCTGTCTTCCTCTTGGGTTACATGGAGACCAAGTGATATTGGCCATATTACAAAGAAATGTGGCAAGAGCGTCATGGAGAGAGTAGGTGCCTTTATCAAGGCACACGCTAAGGGCAAGAGTCCTAGGCCGCAGACTTTTACCCTGATTAGCACACTTAAGGGTGATTTGGGGGTCTTACACTGTATCCATCATAACCTTCATCAATTTCAATGGAACACAGGGCGCTGATGTTTTGCAGACACTGATGCTAACAGAACAGTCTCCACAATCCAAGAGCTCTGACCCATTTGTCTAATACACGGACACCTACTCTTAAACAACTCTGGCCCATATCAACCCACCGTCCTCTATTTGAACCAGAGAAAGAGTTCTTACACTTGCTCAGTCCCTTAGATACAAGCTGCCAGCAACCACACACCTGGAACCAAGTTTCCCCTGGAGAGCAGAAGGAATCTCATCTGTAATATCCTCAACACGTGAACATCAACTTTAGCTTGAGTATCTCCAATTATGTGGAGCTCATTATCCTCTAATTGAGAGGAGCCTCCTTTTTTAATTAATTATTTTGGCCTCACTCCACAGCATATGGAATTTTCTCAAATGGGGACTGAACCCTGACCTCTGCAGTGGAAGCAGGGACCACTGGACCACAAATGAAGTCTGGGAGCCTCTTCTTTTACACTGATCAGAAATCTGATGCCCATCAACTGTCATTCATTGGTCCGAATTTTATTTCTGGAAAGCAACATAGACATGATGCTGGCCTGGAGGAGCTTACAGGCCAGCAAAGAAAACAATCCATTTGATGAGTGATAACTGTAAAACAGAGGATGAGTCCCATGAGGAGAATAGGTTGCTTTTTTCAGAGACACCTTTCTCCTTATCAGCCCTACACCTGTTCCTAACCTGTGTAAGCTCTGCCACTGTCCCATTTTAGAGGTCCTGGAAGAGGGGACAGAAAACAAAAGCCTAGGAGAAGTGATGAATTTACTCTTCCATGACCCCTTCTTCATCCTTCTGCATAAATGTAATCACATTCCAGCTGTGGTCAAAGTCTCAGGTTGGAAAAAAAAACAGAGGATGCAAAAAAAAAAGATGTTTACATAAAAGCACTAGGCTCTAATGATGATTTAACCATGGTGGCTTGTTAGCTTTTTTTTTTTTTAATTCTTAGTATATGTGTCAGGCACTGTACTGTACAAGGCCCTTGGCTTGCATTTCCTCTTTTGCTTTTCACAAATCCAGTCACTGAGTCATTCAATCAACACAGTTTTGCCCCTCTGCTGTGTCCCAGGCACCATGCTAAGGGTTTAGGGTGAAGTCAGTAAGTCACGTGGTTCCTGTCCTGGAAGGGCTCAACGCTCACTAAAGGGAAGGGCTGTAACCCCACAATTACAACACGGCATGATTCGTTGTAATTTTGCAGGGTGGAGCAACTAACCCTCCCTGTGAAGGCTTCAGAGAGGATGAGCTCGGTCTTGAAGAGACAGGGGAAGGGCCAAGAAGAAAAGTCACATGGGCAGAGGCAGGGGAGATCATGACATGCTTGGGGGGGAAGACTGGGTGGCTGGAAAGGACCTCCTCAAACACCATCCTAAGGAGTCTGAACCTGCCTCCTGAAGGCAACCACCAGTAAATAAAAGCTTCTAAGCAAGGGAGAGACAAAATCAGGTGTGTTTCGTATCAAGATCACTCTGACCACAGTGTCCAGTGTGGACTACAGGGGGAGAGAGAGTGGAGGCCAGCAGACCAGAGAAGCTGCTGCGAGGCCCAGGTGAGACGTATAAGAGGCTGTTCTGGGAAACCGGCAGTGGAGAGAAAGAGTGGACACCAGACTGAGATGTTTACTGATGTATTATAGAATCTACACGTTTGTGACCAGCAGAATTTAGGGGAAGAAAAAGCAGGAGCTGTGGGTCATGGCCCTGCAGTTCCTAGCTTCACACATTAATCTGACAGTGACACCATCCAATCCCAAAACCTTTCCGGTTTTCACTCCTATTCCCTCCACCTTTATCCATGCAAATGAACACGGCGTCAGCTGGTATCTTCAGACATGTGCAACTACCTCCTAATGTCTTTTCCTATTTCTCCAGGCACGTTTATCCCTTTAAGGCTGCAGAATATTTCATCATGTTGAAACAGCTCTGTTTCCTCTCAGTCGCTAAGGTCCACACCCTGCACGCCTGGTTCACCCTGGACTCATCTGACTCTGGGCATTTTGCAAGGGATGAGTTGGGCGAGGAAAGGGAGCCTTTAGGTGAAGGGTATTGGAAAAGCATAGCCTCAGGGCCAGGAAAGCTGCAAATCTCATGGGAGATGCTTGGGCAACCCTATCGCATGTGGAAATTACAGAGCTGTCGAAAAGAATCTATAGACCATGGGAATCCTAATGTCTACTCTCTATGGCAAACCTAGACAGTGTATTAAAAAGCAGAGACATTACTTTGTTGACAAAGTCTGTATAGTCAAAGCTATGATTTTACCAGTAGTCACATACGGATGTGAGAGCTGGACCATAAAGAAGGCTGGGCATCAAAGAATTGATGTTTTCGGACTGTGGTGTGGAGAAGACTCTTGAGAGTCCCTTGGACAACAAGGAAATGAAACCAGTCCATCCTAAAGGAAATCAACCCTGAATATTCACTGGAAGGACTGATGCTGAAGCTCCAATACTTTGGCCACCTGATGCAAAGAGCAGACTCACTGGAAAAGACCCTGATGCTGGCAAAGATTGACGGCAAGAGGAGAAGTGGATGACAGAGAACAAGATGGTTGGATGGCATCACTGACTCAATGGACATGAATTTGAGCAAGCCCCAGGAGATGGTGAAGGGCAGGGAAGCCTGGCGTGCTGCAGTCCATGGGGTCACAAATAGTCAGGCACGACTGAGGGACTGATCAACAAGAGGAAAATGAGTTCAAAAAACCCGAAAGTACCCTGTCATTACTACTACTGCTGTTATAGAATAGACGTCACTGTTTTCTTGGTTTCTCCCCACTAAAAAAAAATGATGACCTTAGCATAAGTTCCATGGATTTTAATCGATGGGTCAAAGGATCTGAACACTGCTATGGTTCTTGATTTGTATGGTCCAATGGCTCTTAGAGAGGATTTCGTGAATAGCTGCTGCCACTGTTAACTCAAATACACCATCCAGTATGTTTAAGCACCAAGATTGTAGGTTTTGTTGACTCTGTATCAAGTCTTTGTCCTTAATCTAACTTTCAGGGACTTCTCTCAACTGCTCTCCTCCTCCTCTTTGAGGAATCAGTGAATACTGAATCCCAGAACAAAGAGCCACCTTCCCAGGTATTTCCACCACAGCCCAGGCTGAGGAGGAAGACTCAAGGGTCATGCCTTACAGAGATGAGAATCCACCCAATGGGTGGGTTTAATGAACACAGAAGAGGATGGGGAAGGCGGCCTGGGAATTCCTGAGCAGGGCTCAAAGCCTGTCCAGCGTGAAGGATGACATCAGAGCTGCTCCTCAAAAGGAACCAAAGAACAGACTCAACAGCTCAAACCCATTACGTTCCTGTGATTTCGCAAAACATTAACCAATCTCTCAGAGGCCATAAAGTTGTCCGTATGGCCACATGCCCCCAGAGTTACAAGGTGTATCCCTGAGCCTCCTCACATTTCCAAGTGTAACACAGTGCTCATACGTGGGCAGCTGCAGTTCAAGTTCCACCAGCCCTCTGAGTGACCCGCAGGAAGGCAGCATCTGCTGGCCCCTCCCTACGCCCTGAATGCACTTGCCATGTAGCTGCGTCTCAGCCTCCTCTAGAGTCACTCCTCAAAGTGGTCCCTCCATTCCTTCCTAAAGTCGACCTTCCCTTCCATATTCCCTCGTATGTCACTGGCTTTTTCTTCCCCCCTTCTAGCACTTACTACAACCTGCAATTTTTTTTTATTTTTGAGCTTAAAAATATACTTTAAATCAAA